TAAAATGTTTTAATTGATGTCTTACAATGAGTACATGTTAATTTTTCATCAGATAAACATTTACAATGTAACTGAGCATTTTATTGTTTCAAAGCTTTTCTCCCGTGTTTGAACACAATCCTAAACAAGAAACAGTTTCCAGTTCATTTGTAAGCATGCTCATACCGTCCACACGCCAACAGAAAATATCAAATAAAATATTCTCAAAAAAAATAACAGTTTCAAAAATGGGGAAAAGTTGGATATCAGGAAAGTTACTAGAGGTAAAATACATTGACTACGTGATGAAAACCCTTTGTTACAAAATCGAAAAGTTAAACATGTTGTTGCTTGTCAAAAATCTAATTTGTTTATTAGAAAGAATTGTCCGAGCAGGTTTAGCTTTGCTTCATTAGTTGATCAACTGAGACAGATTTTACTGGAATAAATGGACAGCTTTGATTTGTTTGCTTTACCATTATCTTATGTACACACACACAAAAACACAATTCCAGAAAAAAATAAATCATAAACAACCACTGTTAATAATTAACTGTTCTTATTTAGACCTAACATTTTAACTAGTAAATAAAAGTGTATTTTACATATTAAAAAAATCAACACAACAATTAAAAAAACTTTTTGTTGAATTCCAAACGTACAAGGTGTGAGTTTGTAAAAATCGGTGAGTTTATAAATATATTGTCTTGAACTGTTTTTTTTTTCCCATTTGTAGCTTATTTGGTTTAATATATTTCACAATGACGCAATAAGATGATTTTTTCCGTGTACTCCGGTAAAAGAGGTGCTAGATTCACTGCTGAAACTACTACAGAAAAATTACTACTACTGTTTTCATGGCACATTTTAAAAATATTTTAGGGGGAAATAAATCACATGTAAGGCTGAAATAAAGCAGAACAATAGAAATAATTTGTATTAATAAGTATCAGTTTTTTACATTTCTACACAAATGCTTTGTCTGGCTAGCATTAAGGCTTCTTCTTTGCGGTTTGAACTTTTTTGTGCTTACTTTATTCGCCCTTCTCCACAAAAACTGAATCTAAATACAGAAATATTTTCTTTAGTCAACAATAAACATTCGCCACAGAGCAGATAAAGCAAGCCGTCCTTTTCTGGTGACGATGAACACCAAAAGTTAGCTTAAACCTGCAACTCTGCTCAGACTCAAACCAACACTTCGCTTTAAATGCTAATGTTAGCAACCAGCTATGCTAACAGTAGCTGATACTTCACAGGCGATTGAAAACAAAAAGTTTGTTTTTCTTGTACATTTACTGATAATGTAACACCACCAAAATGTAGCAATAGCTAAAACGTTGCACTAGTCAAAATGTAGCATTAGCCTAAATACAGCCCCAACTATAACATCGCATTAGCCCAAGTGTAGCATTAGCTAAAATACAAAAATAAATGTTTCAGTCAAATCGCAAAATTAGCTAAAAGCATAGCATTAGCCAAACATAGCATTACCTAAATTGTAGCATTAGCCAAAATACAGTAGTCCCTCAGTTATTGTGGGGGTTACATTCCAGACACCCCTGCGATAAGTGAAAATCCGCAAAGTAGGGACGTTATATTTATTTTAGTATTTATATATATTTTAAGGCTTTATAAACCCTTCCCACACTCTTGTAATGTTCTTAACAATGTTCTAAACTCTCTAAAAGAGCACAGCGAAAGACAGCATACAGACTGATGCTACGGTTAGTGAGCCAATCAGCGCCATGGGGCGGACTGACCATCGAGAGCACTGAGACATTTCCCAGTGGCCTGGCCTTAGTGAACACTGAGGGGGACTAAAGGCTCGGTTCGAGTCGCACTTGATTATTTTAAATAAACAATCCATGCTGCTCATACAGCTCACTCAGGTGACTTTTTCCGAGGCCGTCTGTTGAGCGCCCGCCTGTGACACAGCCTCAGAAAGAGAAAGGAGGGAGCGGGGTCTGTCTTATACCTGAGTGAGCTGCACTCACCCACTCTCTTTTTAAAAACTGATTCACTCTTATTTTTCCACCTGAGCATTTTCTCAGATATTCTACATTTCTTCATCTAATCTGTTCATCCCTGCTCCCTGAGCGGTGTTGTTGGGGAAAGACAGACCCCGCCCCTTCCTTTCTCTTTCTGAGGCTGTTGGCTTCAGAAAGAGAAAGGAGGGGGCGGGATCTGTCATTTCTCTTCGCCAATCATGTGTTGTGTACAATCTTAGGTTGAAAACCCGCAAAAGAGTCCGCAAAGGTTGAACCACAAAGTATCGAGGGACTACTGTATAGTGTTAGCTAAAATGTTGCATTAGCTTTGCAGTCAAAAGCTAAATCACAAAATCTTCTTATACATTTTTTTTCCATTTCAAACACAAGTCTTCTGTCTGTATCTTAACACTGGACTGTCAGATGCAGGATTAGTGAAATGCTAAAGTTGAATATTACACTTCAAAAGGTACTTTTGGAAAAGCTAAGGCCTTTGTTAGCTTAACAAGAAGGGTGTTGCGAAACCACGGCCCGGTACACACCTAAACTTTTGGGTCTGGGTTTGAAACAAGTTCAGTACAACATGAAAAAGAAACAAAGATTTGTAAAATTAATTACTTAAAATTTTATTTGTATGGTAATATTCCTCCAATGTGAACTGTAAAGGCTAACGGTCAAACAAAAATTTTATAAATTTCAAAAGTTAAATCTCTCTTTTATTAAGAAGATTACACTTAAAGGCATCTTTTATTCCAAGTAATTTGGCCAAGATACGATGCTAAAGACAAAAAATAACCAAAGATTTCAAAATGTGAAAATGCTAAATCAATACATTAGGCAACTTATTCCTCAGTTAGCTGAGTGCTAGTATGCTCAACCTGCAATGGTTAAACTCCATAAAAAAAAATTATTTATTTTTTTAAAACAGACGGCATTTCAAAGCGCTCTACTTATGAACCATTTGGTTTTCCAAACATTGACTCGCTCTCCAGTGCTGCCACGGACCAATGGGAATACAAAACTCTTTTTTCTACGGTTAAATTTCAAACAAACTCGTGTACAATCTGAACCAATTGGTCTTGCTTTTCTTTGTTTTAGAGTGCTTTAGATCCATCCATTCTCTTTCTCTTGGTAGGGACCAAAAGAACGAGACTATGGACACAGGCATGAGTTTCCTCTGCAGGGTAGCTGGACTCTTTCTTAGAGATGGGGTCAGAAGTTCATTTCTCCAGGAGAGACTCGGGAGTAGAACCACTGATCCGCTACATCCAGAGGAGCCCGTTGAGGTGGTGCAGACATCTGGAAAAAATGTTCCTTGGACGCCTCCCAAGGGAGGTGTTCTAGGAGGAGACCCCGGGGAAGACCCAGGCCACACTGGAGAGACTGTCTCTGGGCTATCCTGGGAACACCTTGGAGTCCTCCCAGAAGAGTGAGAAGAGGTGGCTGTGGGAGGAGATGTTTGGACCTCCCTGCTCCCAAGACCTGACACCAGAACCAGAGTTCATGACCACAGGTGAGGGGAGGAACGTAGACCGCCCACTAAACGGGGAGCCTTTCCTACAGCTTGGCTCTCTCTTCACCACAACAAACCGGCACAGAGTCTACAATACTGCACTGATCCGCTTGTCAATCTGACGCTACATTCTTCCCTGACTCGTGGACAAAACCATGAGATACTTGGAACTCCTTCACTTGAGGCAACACCTCACCCCAACCTGGAGAGGACAGTCCACCCTTTTCTGATAGAACCTTTGGATCCTTTACTCTCCTTTTGTCATAGCCGCTAACTAGAAGCGCTTAAAGAACATGCGCTCTCTTGGAGATAAACATATTCTTTGTTAAAATGCATGAACCAGACATCGATATCTGGGCCGCGATAGTTCGGTATGAATACATGCACCACTTTGGCCTTGGTTTTCCTCAGGCCGTTTCTGAGGTTGGCTTGAAAAACAGCAGTGAAGGCTACCTATGGGACAGATCTGGTTGGCAGGCTGTAGACTGAGGAAGTCCTCTGGATGGGGGACAAAACGTTTCTCACTTAAGAAACTGGTCCAGATGACACGATTTAACCTTTGTTGAATACATGTACCGTTGCACCCCTACTATGTATTACTAGATCGTACAGGTAGGTAAAGTCTAGCTTCCATAATTGTCCCAGCCTTATTCTAAACAGTGACAACACAAAAATGCAGGAACCACATTGGTTTGGTATTTTGGCACAGTCATTATGTAGCACCGAGACGTTCTGCCAAGCCGTCCTCTATGTCGAAGCATTTTCATCCAAACAGAAGAGTCGTCATAGGATCTTTGTAACAGCTGGAGGGAGAAGATTATTTTATCAGCTGTGTGCATGGATTTCAGCTGCGTTCGGCTGCCAATGCTTCTTGCTCATTAGAAAAATTGAAAAAAAAAGTGTGTGTGTGTGTGTGGGGGGGGGGTGATCTGGCATTTTGACACCAAATCCCACTTTTCATTTTGGCATGCTTTGAAAAGAAAGAAAGAAAAGCTTTGTCTTAACATGCTAGAGCGCTTATTTCTCAGAGGGGGAATCTGTTGGTCTCATCCTTGGGTTTATTGCTGCTCCGGTGTCGGCGCTGAGCTTTGACTTTAAATCAAACACATTTTATGGTTTGCTTTAATCTGTTCAGCAGTCAAGAAGGAGAACAGTGAGACAAAACTGACAACGAACTAAAAATTTACTCATTTTTTTAAAAGTTTCTTTGAGTGAGAAGTTTTCTAGATTGTCCGAATTTTGTGATTCCAGCTAACATAGTGCTCCAGAAAGAAATAAAATAACCTTTTCATATATAACTGTGGAGTGAATGGTTTTAGGAGTATTATACAGTAGACCCTCTCATAAAGTTCACAAAAAAACGGTTATTTTTAGGAAAATGTTTTTTTTTTTTTTTTGCCACCTGCTACTTTAAAGCGCACGTTTAAAGACAGTCTGTCTGAAGTTCACAGAACACAAACAAAAACAACAAGTGCTCAAAAGACTAATCACAAACACAAAAACGGTTAACCATCTCGATCAGATTTTCTTTGTTTTGTTTCACGAGCTCCAGAACCGACAGCGGCGGTCTGGAGGGTTGAAGTCCTTCAGTCACGTAGTTCCACAAACGAGCACCAGTAAAATCCAGCCGGTCCCGCGACCCAAACCGCCCCACAACCTTCCCCTGGCGCTGCTTAGTCCCTCAGGGTGGCGGTCATTAACTGGTGGCAGTCCAGGTCCCCTCGCAGCTCCAGCGGACCTGGCAGCCTCAGGCCCGTCTTCGGGTCCACGCACCAGCACTTTCCCCGGTGGCCGTCGCGAGCAGGATGACACTGTGAGCACAAAGACAAGAATTATTCATTTTACAAAGAACAGTCAGATTGCGAAATTAGAAAGATCCGAGTTTGTTTATTATTTTACTTTCCTCTGCGTTTTTAGAGTTCTGTCTTCTAAACTGCCTGAACGCCTCGTTTCCCGGACGTGATGACATCATCATGAGCCACATTTGTATAAAACCCGTTTACTACCTGGTTTAGCAGATTATAAAAACATTTTTTAAAACCCTCCAGCGTATTTAGGTCCAGTCTTTGTTGCTTGTCACCATCTCCATCTTCTATGGCTTCGCTGAGGTCGGGATGTGGACGGAGCAGGTCCAGGAGAGAAACCCAGACCTCTCTCTCCTCAGAGACTCTCTCCAGCTCCTTCTGGAGGACCCCCAGGTGTTCCCAGACCAGAGAGGAAACATAATCCTTACAGAGGGTTCTGGGTCTGCCCCAGGGTCTCTTCCCAGTGGAACGCGCCATAAATCCTCCAAATGGAGGCGTCCTGATCAGATGAACCACCTCCGCTGATTCCTTTTAATGCAGAGGAGCAGCAGCTCTACTCCAAGCCACCCCCCCCCCCCCCCCCCCCCATTGATGGACTTCCTCACCCTCTCTAAGGCCCGGCCATCCTATCTCATTCCGGCTGCTTGGATCCAGGATCTGGTTCTTCAGGTCATGATCCACACCTCATGACCACAGCTGACCACTGGCATAAAGACGGGCGAGTAAATCCAGAGTTTTGCCTTTGGACTCAACTCTTTGTTCACCATGACCGACCAAAGCAACACCCTCATTACTGAGGATTAGGCTCCGATTCATGGATCCATTTCTTGCTCCATCACTCAGGAACAGGAGGTCCAGATACTTGAACTCCTCCACCTGAGGCAACTTTACCAAACAAAAACAAAACGTCCAGGTCCAAAGAGTGAAACTGGGTGAAAAAGCAGCCGAAGTAAAAAGAAATGCACTGGAGAGCTGACGATCACGGAAAATATTACAACGATGGAGACCAGATTAAGACTTTTACACAGTACATCACCGATGATGTGACTCATGACAATTTATTGTGTGAATGTTTATGAAGCATTCACTCGTGATCCATTTTTCTTCTGTACGTTAAACGTTCAGCTCTTTCAGGACAATCCTGCTATGACTTTTGGTATTGGTGCAACTTTAGCTTTTTAAAGTATTTAGCCTTTGCCATTTCTTTTCTCATAGAAAATGAATTGAGCTCATTTTACATCATTCAGATCTGTTTACAACCATTTACTGCTCCTTTCACATTTTGTTCTGATTCAGCTTCTTTCAGCTTCCTTGTGCAAAAATAAATAAATTAATAGATTAATTAAGCTACTTTCAGCTAATTTCAGCTGTTTTTTCTGTTGTTTTGTGCTCCTTTCAGATTCTTTCTGCAAACCACAACATTTTTCTGCTCTGCTTCTTTTAACTTCTTTCTGCTTCTTTCAGCTTGTTTCTGTAAGTTTCAGCTATTTCTGTCATTTCAGCTACTATTTAGCCGTTTTATTTTAATTTTAGCCTTTTCAGCTAATTCCACAATTTTTTGCACTCGTTTCAACTTTTTTGAGCCTATTTCAGCACAAATGTGCTCTCTACTTCTTTCTAGTAATTTAAGCTTCTTTCTGCTTTATTAGCTACTATTCAGCTGCTTTTTACAAATTTATACTTTTTTTCTGATAATTTCTGCATTTTTGTGCTAATTTCTGCTTCTTTAAGCTTAATTAGGCTCAACTGTGCTCGCTCTATGTCCTTCTGGTAGCTTAAGCTTCTTTCTGCCTTTTCAGCTACTTTTCAGCAATTTTTTTTGCTAATTTCAGCTTCTTTTTCTTTTTTTTTAGCGAATTTACTAATCTTTGCGCTCATTTCTGCTTATTTAAACTAAATTCAGCAAATGTGTTTTTTCCGCTTTCTTCTGCTAAATTAGGTTTCCATTTTAGCAACATTTCAGCAGGTTTTTAGCTAATTTCAGCCGTTTTTCAGCAATAAGCATTAACACTGCATTTTCGCAGGAAATGCAGTTTCTCTAGTTATTATAATTAGGAGTTTTCATGTGTTGCAAACAACAACTTTTAGTATAATAGAGATATAACAACATATTAGTGGACTGAGATCCCTTTAAAAATCTCAGTTTTGCTCCTTAAAACCATTTTACAGAGAAACTGAGGCTCCAGCAGAACAACAGACATGAGGTGGAAGACCTGGCCTAAAGTTCTCAGTTGGACTCAAACAGAGCTCTAGAAGAATCCAAACATCCCTCCGTGCACTGAAAAAGTAAATAACCGACGTGCTCTTTGACTCTTTGCTCTTCGTTCGTGACCAAAAGTCAATAAAATTACATCAGAAATTCTTTTGAAGGACTCCATTGAACTCCGTTTGATTTAAAGCAGCTCCTACAGCTTATTTATCATACCTCAAAGTGATTTATTTAGTTAAATAAAAAGGCACAAGATGTATTTTAAACATATCAATGATTTAGTTTTGTTTCCTCTGCACTTCCTCTGCGAGTTTTCAGTAACTCCAGTTGTTTTTTTGTGCGTTTCTAAACAATTTTGTTGAATTTAAAAGCCTTCAGGACAAACTGATTTAGAATCTGGGAGCAACTGAGGCCTAAAACGAGTCCCAGTCGCCCTTAATGACCCAAACTTTTTATCTCATCGCCGGTCCAGTTACACAGTAAACAGAACCCCATAAGACCCCGATCCTTCGACCGCATCTCACGATCAACAGAACAACCAGACGTTTGGAGCTTTCTTTTATCACCAGCTTAGAGTCGCCTTATCTCTGGTTTAATACGTTCTCTGATTCTCTCAGTCTTATCAGAACGTTTGCTCAGCCTCCAGCAGAACCAGCACTTTCTGTGAAAACAGTGATAACGCTGAATGACTGCTCAAACTGAACTGTTACAGCTAAAAAGGAGCAGAACATCAGCTGAAAGTTGCTAAATTCTAGCTAAACATTTTGAAGGCTAACCAGAATATATCAAAAGGTTAGCTACAAGCTAAAAAAGTAAAATGAAAGCAAAAATGAGCAGAATGATAGTTAAAAGGTAAAAAGGTGCAAAACATGAGCTAAACGTCTTAAGTTGTAAAAGACTAGCTAAAATATTAAATACTAGCTAGAAAACAAAAGTTAAAAAAAAATGCTACGTTAAAGCTAAAAGTATTAGAAGGCTAGCAGCCACCTAGCTAGTCTTATAATATGTAGTATCATAAGGCTCGCTAGGGACAAAACATGAGATAAACCTCTAAAGTTGCAAAAGACTAGCTAAAATATTAAAATTTAGCTAGAAAACAAAAGTAAAAAAGGCTAAGTAGCTGCTACTTAGTAGCAGCTAGCCTCCTAGCTAGCCTTATAACAGTACCATAAGGCTAGCTAGAAACACAACATAAGCTTAACTTCTAACGCTGCGAAAGACTAGCTAAAATATAAAAGGCTAGCTAGTAAACTAAAGTAAAACAATGCCAAGTTGAAGCTAAACGTATTAGAAGGCTAACTAGCAACTAGCCTCCCAGATAGCCTTATAATAGTACCATAAGACTAGCTAGGAACAAAACGTGAGCTTAACTTCTAAAGTAGCAAAAGACTAGCTAAAATATCAAAGGCTAGCTAGAAGACAAAAGTAAAAATGCTAAGTTAAAACTAAAAGTATCATGAGGAAGTTAAAGCTACAAGTTAAAAGAAGCAGAAAGCTAGACAAGAGCTAAAAGTAGCAAAAAGTTAGCTAAATATATGAAAGTCTGCCTAAAAAATAAGTTAACTATAAAATGTCAAGTCTAGCTAGAAGCTAAAAGAGGCAAATGTTTATTTAAAAGCTACAAAAAGTAGAATTGTAGTTAAAAATTAAAAGCAACAGAAAAGTAGCTTAAAAGTAAAAGCAGCAAAAGGTTTTTTAAAAGTATAAAAAGGCTTGTTAGAAATAAAATATAAAAAGGTTAGCTAGAAGCTTAACACGTTGGAGGCTAGCTTAAAGTCAAAAATTGCCAAACTACAGTATTGTCAAAAGCTAAAAGAAGCAAAACACAAGCTAAAAGCCAAATGCTAACTAAAGGCTAAAAGTAGTAAAAAGCTAGCTTGAAAATAAAAGTAACAAAAAGCTAACTTAAACTAAAAGGAGAAAAAGGTTAGCTAAAAGCTGAAGGAGACAGAAGGCTATATTAAGTTAAAATAAGTAGAATGGCTAAAAAACTGCTAAAGTCTAGCTAAAATAAGAGTACTGTAGCTACTAATATTATCAGCAGAATTATGCTAAAGTATGTTTTTGATGCTATTCTCAATGATATTTAAAAAAAAGTGCAACTAAAATATTTAATTACTATTATTATAACTAAATAAAAGTTACAAAAAACAAAAGTTGTGGCACGACCCATCACATGAATGAGTTAAACATATTGATATATTAACTGTAAAAAAAATAAAAAAAGCACAAAGTATGCAGAAGATGTCAGACGCCAAAAATCCAATAAAATTGTCAATCTTTAAAGTTCAAACGGTTCTCTTCGGATCATGTCAGCATTCTGCGGGCCAGGACACGAAGCACGCCTGCAGACGATGACATGCTGTCAAACTGGTTCAACGTCAACAACAGCGCCTCCAAACAGACCATCACGCCAGAACCATGTTTCCCTAGGCTCTCATGAGAAGTGATTTACAGCCAGAAATTAAGACGTCATGTGGTTTACGGTTTACCCCGAACTGTTCTACAACCATCACTTTATCACTCTGATGGTTGTAATTAGTTTTTGGATGCAGCTTCTCCGTTTTGTTGTTGAAGGCTGAGTCAACATTCACTCCATTGATTTCCACTTTTGTTTTCCTGTTTATTTTTCCACACGTTCTTTGGCATCAAACTACTTCTGTACTCTTTGTGCTCTTGTATCTACCTGTTCCTTTATTAAAACGTTCAGCTCATTCAGAAGATTGATGCTGTGACTTTTGGTTTTTGCAGCTTGAATACTTTTTATTTACTAAACTTTTCCCCATGGAAATTAAGATTTCTTCAATTTGATCAGTTAACATTTTCTTTAAAATCTGCTTCAGCTACTGGTTCTGTTTTTCCTTCTTATGCCTCTTTTAGCTAACTTTCTGCTACTTTTAGGTAGTGTTTTTACAGTACTGTACAGTACTGTTTTTAATGCTAGTCCTCCTACTCCTAACGCTAATATTTCAACAGATAATGCTGCGACTCCTAATGCTAGTTTGCTTACTGATAGTACCACTACTACTAATGCTAGTTTATTCTATAGCTAATGTTGCTACTCCTTAAGCTATTTTTTGTGCTAATACTGGTGTTGCTAGTACTACTCCTATACTGTTTTTTTTACTACTAATGCTGCTCCTCTTAATACTCTTTGTTATTGCTACTACTCCTAATGCTTTAGGTTTAGTTAGCCATTTGTAACTTCTGGTATTTAGCTAGCTTTATGCTACTTTTGGGTCTAAGCTAGTTTTTTTGGCTAC